AAAATTTACTGATGGAAGGACGTAATCATAAAAATAATTGTAATCTCAGAGGCATCAGAATAACAGTATGTCCAGATAATGAAGCCCATTTAGTATCTTATTTTCTCAGACACGTACCAAATGGTCTCCTTTATCTCATTAGATGAGGAATGTTTAATTTTAGATCATGAACAAATTAAATGAAAGCATACTGATGATACTAAAATGCTCAATCTGTTGCCAATATACATGAAAAGGTGGTTTGAGAATATTCAACCTATGACAAGTGTGAAACTTCTAATGTGTCTTATTGCTCCAGATATTGCACATTTAAATACGAAGTTGTAAGGCTAAGAAATTTATCATGTCAAAAACTGAGTTACACCAATGAGCTGTCAGCAAGTCTTAATTAGAAAACTAACGTCAAAACTATCCATGTACAATCCCATGAACATTTAATTCAATTCTAACTAATTAAAAGGCAGTTCTCCCAATATTCATGTCAGCCGTGGCCTAAATAAATTCATGAACTAGAAAATTTGCTTATCCACAAACCTTGTTAACATTAACTAAAACTCCCAAAGCAAGACAAATATTATCAGTTATCTTTTCCAACAACAGACTGGAGTTCAAAATGTATTAGAAAATACAGAGGCAACTCTATGTAGTATGATCATGTGTACGATGCTTAAGAAATTACCGCATTAGAAGCAGGTTTCCTCAGTTGAGAGTCAGAAGATGGTGAGGTGCTGCTCAAGCGAAGCACATTACAAGAACGCATATTATGGTTCCAAGTGTCATCAGCTTCTCCAACATCCAAACCTCCACCAAGATTTCCATCCGAGGCTGTTTTAGGTGTGTTTAGCCTAGTCATTGACCCAGAGTCATTGGTGGTATCCACTAGTAGTGGAGCAAATTGCCGGCCAGCCATCCCTTGCATACTGCTTTGTCTCTTTAGCTCCTCTTCTGCATTCAAAATCTGTTAAGCAAAGTCAATACAGTTCCCTAGATAAATGCAAGAAGGTATCCGGATCAACGTCAAAAGTTTAAGATCAAGGAGAGGCATCCAGAATATCTTCTTTCTTACAACTTCAAGGGAACTTATGTTACCTGTTTCAACACTTGGACTAAACTATGTTTTTTCTCATTCAAAATTACCAGCTTCTCCTCAACCTCTTTCTTTCTTTTCTCCTTAGCAATAACATCATTCTCTTTGTTGTGAGCCTGCTAAGGAAAAGGAAAAGAAATGTGTAACATAACATTGTCACAGCAATGAAATAAAGGAAAACAAGAAACACAAAAAAAATTATTACTTTTATCTGCATCATAAGCACTATGCTACGTTCAAGTCAGCTTGTGCATTTCATTTGCAGTGTTCAACCTACAAATCTAATTTAATTTTCACCCACCACAGCTTTAAAATGAGATGGGGTGGGGAATTGGGGGGGAGGAACTACTCTTGCACATCCTGCTCATAGTAGGACTCTGTATG